CTTATGTCATAGTTGTCAAGTGCAGTAGAGAATTGGCAAATGAGAAACCTAGAAATCTTTTAATCTATGTTTATTTCAGTGTGAACCAGACTAATGAAATCACATCATATTTATAGGAGGATATGGACTTGTAGGCAAATGTTTTAATCCCAAGGACTTTTCATAAAATATGATCGCCCTATGAAGTCATAATTAACAGTTTCCTTCCATCAAAGAAACTTCGAGATATGCATAACCAAAATATTAATTAATTTTTTTATCTATTATTTACTTGAAAACAAGGTAAATAATTTTCTACCTAATATGTGGGACACATAATTGTCTCTAATAAACCAGTGTATTAATATTCTTGAAACAATGTCCAAGATTCATGCATGCTTCTAATTTCTAAACCATAGACAATTCACCTATATATAATTAATAAAATAAGCTTACGAAATTTCCATACAATTTTCTCAAATATATATTGTTTTCAAAATTTTAAATATCTTTAAGCATGCTGCACAATATTTATTTATTTTTAAAAATCTCTGTTAGTATTTAAGTATAATTTGTTTCAGGTAAGTGGAGTTATATTTTGACTAGCTAATAATCATAAGATTTTTTATTTAATCAAACAAAAGAGGAAACTGTTGTGAAATGCGCACCTCCTACCTTGACATTTTCTGATTATAAAACTAAGATTTTGCCTAATCTTATTGCACGATCAATTCTGATTTTCTAGTAATAATAAATTAGAGTAATTAATCTAACTAAATTATTTTCTTTTAATTTTTCGAAGGACAAACCTTCCTACCTAGCTAAGTCATACTGCCCTCAATGAAATTTGATTAATCAATATATTTAAAATTTGATTTGTGAAGAATTAAACTATTAATTTAGTGATAAGTGTGACGACCCGACATATCATCATGTTACATAAGTGTTTCGTAAGTGCCATATGGCACAAAGTTGTACATGTAGAAGGCTTACATAGGAAAAAGACTAGTTCTTATGGATGATTCTAGAGAAGTATGGAAGTTTTCATGAAAGAATATATAATTGCATAGAAGGTCCCTAGTGATGTAGAGAATTCTAGAAGGACTTATTTGTAAATATGTAGGAACTTGCTTAACAATTATTACTTACATATTAACCCCTAGGTTAGTAGTATAAATAGAGGGACATTCATTTGTAAATTCACCAAGCAAGAATCAAGCAATCTTCCCAGCAATATAAAACCTTCAATTCTCTTGTGTCTTTCTTTATTCTCTTATCGATCTAATTTGAAAAGGCTTACTTAAGCGTATAAGATCGTGAAAATCCGTGTATAAGTTGTCAAGTCACGGACGGAGTACTTAGTAGAAGTCTAAGGCTGTGACATAGAACTCTTACTTTACAACTTAAAACTTAAAAAGGTGTTAAAAAGTTCCATTCTCACGGACGCAAGAAATATTGTGAAAAATCGTGATAAGACATGACATGATGTATTTTTAGTTTATCAAGAACATTACTTTAGATAAGAGGATATGCATATCACAAATTATGATAAAATATTAGCAGGTACGCTTCCTTGTGTAATAGGCTTGGTGCACCCTATTTGTTTCTCCTTCCATTATTCTCGTAGTGTTTTGTCTTCCAATTTTTGTTATTATTTTTTATTTGGACAAATTACTTAACTATACTCCTTTACTTACCTTAATATCCATTTATCCCTACTTATTTCAAAAATTTCAAAAATCCCTTATTTATATATGTATCCCGCATGTTTCCCGTGCACAACACTATGTATCTTGCTATTTGGAATGTATCAAACGCTATGTATCCCGTGCACAACGCTATGTATCCCGCATGTATCCGGTATACAACACTATGTATCCCGCTATGTGGAATGTATCAAACCTAATGTATCATGTGCACAACGCTATGTATCCTTCTATGTGGAATGTATCAAACCTAATGTATCCCGTGCACAACGCTATGTATCTCGCAAACATAATTTTTAAGGGATTTTTGGTAAATAGAAAACTAGAAGGGATAAGATGTTATTTAGTACTTATAATATGTGGTTCCTATAATTTATACTTTTTATTTTGGTTAAATTATTCTGAAGTGAGTAAACGTATAAAAAATTTAAACGACTAAATACAATTTAAATAGCAATGTCTAAATAGAATACCTTGTGAAATATGCAAGTTCAACATTGAAAATTGGTAGATAGATGGATCTGAAACCCCCTGCAAGGCCCAACAACATCTTAGTGTCTATTAAATGGGCTGCTTTTGCAAGATCTGTGGGCTTTTTACTGAGGTAGCCACATAATGTTCATGCCGGCTCTAGATAAAATATACCGCTATTTATGAAAATTCCTCTATATTTAATTATAGCGCCTCTACTTTCTATTTCTATTCTTCTTTTTGCATGAAAAAAATGATGCGATACATATTTAATTCCCTTTTAATTATAGTTTTATCCAAGTAGATGCTTCTATGTAGACAAATGACTACAAATTTTACTAATTAAAGATAGAGGTCCTATATACAGTTGATATACAAACAACATTTTTCGTGAAAACTAAGTTAAATTCATAATAAATAAAGTAAAAAGTTTAAATTTCGTGTTATGAAAGTATACTTTGCTTTATATTATTAATAAGTTGAATTAACTTATAACAAAATGTAATATTTAGCTATAATTTGGTTACCTAATCGGTTAAATATGCATCAATAGTGAAGAAATTATTTACATAGTATATAATAGTAAGTCATTAACAATAATATCATGATTAGGATAAACATGCTCCTAACTAGGTCCACACAACAAACAAAATAGATTATCCATAATGCATAGATTTTTTAAAAAAATTGTCTAGAGGTGATGAATTATATATTATGGTTGAAGAAATTCATTAATGCAATTAATTGTACGGAAACAGTTCATCAATTTATGCTTAAACAAAATTTGGAAAATACAACAACATTATCTCAAAATAATAATTACGCAAATTGGCATATTTTTCAAGCAAAAATATTTTATTTAAAAGTATGCATCTTGTAACATGTTTGCCATTACCTATCCATGTTGCTTGTGATGTACATTTTGTAATTATCCCATTAAAGGACAACTTTATATTAACAGATTAGTATAAACTAGTTACTGAAATTAATCAAGAATTATTTTTGTTTTGATAATTAAATCAACAATGCACCACCAATGCATGTGGTGGAGTGCAGGAGGGGAGTTGCTTCTCCCTTAATTGGAAGTTTAACTCAGGTTCGAGTCTTGGTGCCCTGAATATTATCCTACTTGGTGCGCATTCAAATTAATCCGACTTTAATATAGATATCACACCTCATATGAAATAAAAAAAACTTAATAAATGCTAAAAACAGATAGTACAAATTTAAAGCTAGTCAATTTATTAATTAAGTTACAGAACGGAGAATAGTCATGGCTGGTTAATACAACTTTATTTATTCTTTTGTACTTGAATTCTTTCTTTTTCATGTTTGTATTTTTCAAACAACTTGCTTTTTGTCAAACAATATAACCCCCCCCCCCCCACCCACCCACCCACCAAAAATAATAAGCACTTTAGTATATTTCGTCTAGTAAATGAAAATTGGAATTATCAGGTCTTTTCACTCGATATTCAATTTGAGTTTACTGTATAATAAATTGAAACTTTATATGTCATAATAACATCATATACAAGAAATATATAATATATTTATCGATTTGATGCACTCATGAGTTCACATGTATACTTTTTCTTTCTTCAAATAAAACCACCTCAGTAAATTCCAAACTATACTCAAAGATTCAATGTATACATAATATACTATAGACTTAGTTACACACAATATTGCCGCCGGTTGCAAAGATTGAATAGTCTTCTCAATATTGAATAAAAAATAATAATAATATGGATATTAAATTATAAAAAAACAATAACTTAACCATAAGAATTATGGATTAATTATAAAAGTAGATCACAAAATTACAACTAAAACAACAAAAACTTGTAGAAAAGACATATATCTTGTATTCATGATCTTGTTCGCGTATACTTAAAAGAGAAGTTTCTATGATATTTTAATTTTATTTTGTTATCGATTCTTACTCTAATTATTGTACGTACTAAAAATTCGATACATTCTGAAATTAAGATTGAATTTAGTACTAGTACTTTGTCCCAACGTAAACAAGATGATTGACTTTTAAAATTCAAACAATATGGGCTTCCATTTTTCATTTTTTATATTTTAAAACAGCTCAAATGGATAGATATGGGACACAATTCAACAGATCTAAGTTGAAATATTTTTTTTAAAAAGGAAAAAAAAATTAAATTGACTTTTAAAAGTCAAATATTTGTGTTTCAAAGGAGAGAAGAAAACAAAGCAGGCTGATAAATTTTACAAAATCTATAGATAGATACAAAGGAATAAACAATGCCGGCTTTCGTTAATTAAATTGAGAGTGCTTAAAAAAAGTATAAGTCAAATTTAATAATTTACACATTAGCTGATTCGAACATTATTATTTTCATTTAAAAAATAGTTGACTTTAAAGTCAAATATTTGTGTTTAAAAGGCAGAGAAGAAGTACACTAAGTTGGGGCGGAGCAAGGAAGGCCCGAATGATTTTATCTGAATTTCCTTTCATTAGAAAATATATTAGTTATACTTGGTTAAAATTATTTTTTAGATACATATACTAGACGTAGAATCCCCTTTGACATTTTATTTGCTTATTTTATATTTCAAACTCCTTAATAAAAAATCTTGATTCCACTATTGCACAAAACTGATAAATTTTCACAATCTCTTGACATCTAAAATCTAAATTAATGTCACAAAATAATGCCGACTTTCATTAATTAATATTATGCCACAAAATAGAAAAAGAAAAAGGACTTTCTAATTTCTACGTGCTTAATTACATTTCAAGAAAGAAAAAGAACTAATTTAATCTCTACTAGTGTACAAAAATATATTAAAAAATCAATAATCCCACAAGAATTGAATGAAAAAATAATAATAAAATCAAACATTTGAATTTTCCAACTTGTGATAATCCAATGATTCCAAATAATCCTCTATCTTTTCATCTTGATTATCACAATCACCATTAATAAGTTCTTTTGCTCTTCTTGCTTGATCTTCCCAATTAGTCTTAACCAATATAATTAACATCATAGTCACAGCACATGAACCTTGTGCAGCTAATAATCCAAGCCATAATCCTTTAAAATCAAATCCCATAAAAAAACTTAACCAAATTGCAATTGGCATTCCAACTAGATAAAAACATCCTAAATTAACATTAGCACCTAATTTAGGCCTAGCTGTTCCTCTTAACACACCACAACCTGTTGTTTGTGGACAATTCCCAAGTTCACAAAGCCCTATAATAGGTAACACCATCGCGGTTAATTTCATAATTTCTTGATCCTGAGTGAACATTTTTGCCCAAATATTACGTACCAGAATAGCAAAAAATAAGGATGAGATTCCCAACACGAAACTTGTACATAGTCCAATAATAGCTGCTAATTTAGCGCGATTTGGACGATTAGCACCTAATTCATTTCCAACTCTTGTTGATACACCAAAGCTTAATGATGATGGGAAAATGTAGATTAAAGATGTTGTTTGGATTAAAATTCCCATTGATGCAACTGTTGATTGAGGATTAATTAAAATCCCACATAATAAAATCATAATTTCATACCACCACCACTCTAAACAAACACTAATACAACTTGGAATTGCTAAATTAAGAAGTGATTTCCATCCCTTAAAACACTCTAAAGAAATTCCACTCCAAGTTTTCTTGTAAACCTTAGAAAATATAATATAAATAATTAATGATCCAACAAGATTGAAATTTGTCCAAACCCCACTTAAGGCAACACCTTTAATCCCAAGATTAAGAATTTTGATTAAGAAATAATTAATTGGGATATGAAGAATAATTGCAAAAATAGCACAAAAAGTTAAAGGCAATGTGATGGATTGTGAACGAAGATAAATTCTTAGGGGGTGTAAAAGTGATTGAGCAAAAAGATCAGGGAGTGAAAAAAGAATGTAATTTTGTGCCATATTTGCAATTTCATGATCTTGGCCACAAAGAATCAAGAGTTTTTGCATAAATAGCCACAAAATTGAAATAGGAATTGAGGTTAAAAGTAGCAAAAGAATAGTTCTTTGTAATGTAAGGCCTAAAATGTTGAATCTTTTAGCACCAAAAGCTTGTCCACAAATTGGTTCCATTCCCATGGCTAAACCTGAAAGAATTGAATAACCGGTTATATTTGCAAATCCAATTGCAAGTGAACCACCAGCTAAAGAAAGTTCCCCTAAATGACCAAGAAAAATCATGGAAATAATTGAACGTGAATAAAGAATTAGCCCTGTAAATATCATTGGAAATGCAATATTTCCAATGCATTGTGCTTCTGAAATTGCAAGTGTTAGATGCTTTTTTTGCTTTGGAATATTATTGCTTTCTTCCTTTTCATATATCAAAGGACTCAACATCCTTAACGACGTGTTTGAGTATGACACGAGTAGATAGAATCTGATTAACGGTGAAATATGTAGAAATCGAAAACAACACCAAAAATGAAAGCAAAGAGGTGTCGAGTAGGGTATGAATAGACAGAATATGATGAAACAGTGAAATATGTAGAGATCGACAAAGAACGTCAACAACAAAAGTAAAGATGTATCAAATATGATATGAGTAGACGAAATATGGTAAAATGGTAAAATATGTAGAAATCGGAAAAGAACGTCAACAACGAAAGCAAAAATGAGTAGAGTATGGTATAAGTAGATGAAATTTGATAAAACAGTGAAATATGTGAAAATCAGAAAGAACACCAACGACGAAAGAAAGTATGTTTTTTTTTCTTGAATTAAGTGACTTAAAAGGGTTTTTGAGGGGTTCAATATGTGTTGGGGTTGGTTGGCTTTATATAAGTGGGAGAAATTATAAAAAGAAAATTCTTTGTTTTCATCTCTTTCTAGTAAGGTCGGCTTAGAGGAACAAAACTATTTCGGTTGACTAAGTTTTTTTGTTTTTTTTTTGCAAATATAGCCACCAAAATTTTTACAAAGATTTTAAATGTTTCTACAATATAAAGTCGTTTATATAACCGACCAATTAGAATTATGTCACAATTTGGCCTGCATGCATCAATATATACAGCCAAACATATCGAGAAAAGTAAGAAAAATGATGATGGTTAATATCATGTTTGAGTTTAATTTATTTAAAAAAAACATACAGTGTGTGTGGACTTTGAGAAAAAAAAATTAAAAAAATTGTGGGACGGTTATTTAATAGTGATAATTAATTAAAAATATTTTTTGACTATTAAGGGAGGCAGGGACAATTTATGCCTGCCGTTTCAGTTTGTGAATTAATACATCCTTTGAATATTGCAAATACCAGTTACTCTCTAGAGATAATAAATCAGTTTTTATGACTAAATATTATATACATATACATATATAATATCGTAATTATCATCGCTCGATTATTATTTTTGTACACCACAAGCAATTACTTAGGCACCTTAATATATAATTTAGATTATTTCTTTCTCGACTTTGGATCTTTGCATCCACCTCTGCTCACTCTTTCATTTAATTCAATTTTTTGTCGTGTAGAATTCTCCATCATAAATTCAAAACTTCTTATTCATAGTATAGGAATTCCATCAATTTCACGACATTTCTCGAATATAGCTATAAAATAAATTCTAAAAGAAATTGGCCGACTTAATAATTAGGTTTAGTACCAAATTAAGAGAAAGGCAATTTGATCATACAAAGACAAATCTAAATTACTCAGTTAACTTGGACGCCTTTCAAATTAATTAACATGTACTAATTAGAATTCTATTATTTAATCACCCATTTAAATGAAATTTCATTAGCTGCCAATCTTTTGTCTAATATAAATAAAATAATTATACACTTGCCCACTTTTGCCAAATATATTTAAATATTATTTTTGGTACATCCAATTTTGCCTAATATACTACTAGTAGCAAAATTTTGAACAGAAAAATCCAAAATAAAACCAGAGAACTATTCTTTTTTGTCTTGTCTTAGAATTTTATGGTGCGTAGAAGAAAACTAAGACAACAAAATAGACAAAAAAGAAACATGAGAATAAAACAAAAAAAGTGTTCTCGTGCGGGTGAGTGAGGGGGTGGGGGTGGGGTATGGGTAGGCAGAATTTCAAAAGAAATAGTTTGAGTCAATTGGTCTTTGTGTTGGGGGGAATGAACATGTGTGTCATGAAGATTACTATATTAAACGGTTGTGATAGAGCGATAAATATTCCTCAATTCTTAATTAATAAATTTGCGTGAAAGCTTAGAGCCCTTTTCGCTAGGTTCAAAAGCTTTCCAAAAGACTTGATCCAATAGAAATCAAGTATTGAGTGTAGCTGATATGCGGCTACGGCTAGCCGATCATATCATTCCATAAAAAAATCTATATGCGATCATAGAAGCACTAATACATCAAATTTAATCAGAACTCCAAAGTTAAGTATACTTGTGTGAGATCAATAGTATTAGGATGGATGACCCCTGAGAAGTTGTTGGGATGGTAAGCATCCTTCACCTCCGGCCTTTGAGGTTGTGGGTTCGAGTCATCAAAGGAATAAAAAGGTGGAAGCTCCTAGGAGCGATTAAAAAAATAGAATAATGTAATCTTTTTGTAGAGAATTAGGATCGGAGAGAGTTACCTACTTAAACGAGATTTTCTGCTACGAATTCAAATCAATCGATCCCTAATATAGATATTGAACACTGATACAATAACTAAAAATGTGTATCATAAAATCTTATAATTATACTGTACAGATTAAAGTGTTGATCTAGCTAGACACATGTTTCTTGTTAATAGGTTTCTAAAAGTAAAAAGTCCAAGTAAATCATCGTACTCTAGCTACTTTATATGCTTTGATTAATTATATTAATCACTAGTAAGATTACTTTCTAACTAATATAACTATTCATAACTTTGAATTATGTCCCAAATTAGGTCCGTGATTGAAAATAATTAAATTAACAAAAATAGTCGATCAACAGAGTCACTATTTGATTTGGGTTAATTAATCAGAACCATTTATTTTTTACCTTGATTGTCTCTAAACAAGTGCAAAAATAATCGATTTTGAAATCATCATTTAACTCCTTATCGTAATACACGAGTGACTTCAGATATTTTTTTCCTAAAATTTGGCTTGACTAATCCCAAACTTCGATTTAAAGTTTGGTTTGCCAATCTCAAAGAGTCAAAGTCTAACACTACTGCTTAAATGACGACGTCGAAATAGGTATAAATAATCAAATGAGGCTGCGTTACTAATTTCAATAATTCCTTTTAGAATTTTGGATAGTACTAAAAAATCAAGTTGTGTTTTACATGTAATAAACAGTAATATTATTTATTCCTCAAGAAATGTGATACTTATGTGAAATAAATTAAAGTCCCATATTTGAATAAGTGAATACATTCCCCTTGACATAAAATTTATTTACTTGACAGTTGCCACATATAGAAAATGTATAGTTTGTACGATTTTAGGAACTAAAACAGTAACTTTAGATAGTTGTTAAACTCTTTCAATAAGGAAAAAAATTCAATGCCAAAAGTTTTAAAAAAAAAGAAAAGAAAAGAACGACAAAGAAGAACAATTAGGTTATTTAAAAAAAAATTACTATAACTTTTTACTATTACCGAGTTTAAATTTTATACCTTAATGATGTAAAATTTATATATAATTAGGTTTTTTAAAAAGATAATTGTTAAAAATATGTTTATAGCGATAATATATAATATTTAATAAGAAAATACTATACATGAATATAACTCAAATCCTACTAAAAATGTGTTTGGATAGGTGTAAATAGTAGGGCCATTTAAAATCGAATTGAAATCGATAATTCAAATAAATAAAAAAGCTATTGATTTATCGATAATGGGTTATTGATTTAGCAGTTTCGATAATGATTTTGATTATTTTTATTATCCAGTTATTATTCTATAATGTGATGGTGTTTGCTTTTGAGCAAAGATGTTATTTGTTAACTCATGTGCATGGTTTAATTAATTTGGTTTGTCACCGTGATTTTTAATGATTTTTCTTTTTTGTTCTGGTTTAATCGATAACCAAACTAATAACGATTAATAACCAGTAAATTAATATCTTAATGATTCTATTAACAGTTTAGCATGTTTATAAATTAATAATTCAAACCAATAAACCTCAAAACCGAATCGACTGATACGGAGAACTTATTTTGAAAAGTCGATTAAAATAGTTCAGAACCTCCTTTCATCTGAATTTATTTCTTTTTAACTGATTCTGAATTTATCACAAGACACAATTAATATAATGGCAACAATAATTAAACCAAACACCTACAATATACACTTGAACTCAACATTTTACACAAGACGCAAAACGAGAAAACAAAAACATATAACAAAAACTTATTAATTAAATAGATGTCTTTAATTTTTATCAAACAAAAAATTAAATAATCTAACTAATCTACTTATAGCATGCTTTAAACGTGTTTTTCCACCCCGTCCACTTGTGATTGCGACTTATTTTCTGTTGATTTTTTCGTATCGTCATCTTTTTGAATAGTAACATATCTTCTCCAATACCAATGTTCACTCCAAATTGCACCCATATCATCAATTGGAATCCCTTTCGTCTCCGGGAGGAAGAAGTAGATGAATATTGTCATGATCGCGACGAAAAACGCGAAAAATAAGAAGAGTCCAAACTTGAAGGAGCATAGCATTGCTGTGAAGATCTCGGCAATGAAGAAGGTGAAAATCATGTTGAATGACACGTTTACGGCTTGACCAGCTGGTCGGACCTCGAGGGGGGAAATTTCACTAGGGACTAACCATCCTAGTGGGCCCCATGACCACGCGAAACCCGCCACGTATATGCAGATGAATGTCACAACAAATGCTGCGTACCATATTGGTAATTTTCCTGGATCGCCACTTGTTCCAAACTTTAGTGCAATCGAAACCGCTATAACAATCTATAATATAAAAAAAGGAATTTTAAGTAATAACAATATTTCAATATAGTGAACTTCGAGTTCCTTATGATATGCAATTGAATTATGTTCTTGCTAAAAAAAAAAGGACAAAAAGGGGTTATCAGAAAAAAAAAGTTTTCCCAACACGAAGTTAAATGAAGGTTCTACACTAATCAACTAGGAATGGCTAGTGTGAAAAAATATGTTCTTCGCGTTCATAATATGCAACTGAATCACATTCTTGCTGAAAAGGAAAAAAGGGGGGATTTTTGTAAATGAAAAATATTTTCCCAACACGAAGTTAATTGAAGGTTCAAACTAATCAACCAGGAATGACTAAGGTTAAAAATTAGGTTTTACGAGTTTACTACAATACACAACTAAATCACGGTCTTGCTAAAAATAGGACTAAAGGGGTTTCAGAAATGAAAACTATTTTTCCAACAC